GCCAATCAGCATTAATAACACCATGTTACTAATGAGGGAATTGGATGGTTTAAACCAATCAAGCTCGAGTGACTTTGCCCATGCCACAACCCTCCACCTTGGCTGTGACAGGTTTGCTTTTGCTTCCCAGCTGCCTGACCACTGCCATCCCAGGTACACATCAGCAATTTGTACACAAGATACACAGACAGGTCCTCACCATGCAACTGACTTCAAAAACCTTGTCCCAAAGTTGGCCTGAGATTAAAACCTCACCACCAAAGGTAGGATTGCTGAGTGCCAGCTCACAGCTGAGAATAAGACTGTGCTAACAGGATTCTCCTCAAGCTTTCCTTGCCAAAGCTGAGGTCAGCCCCCAAGACCTGCCTTGACACCTGCTCCAACAAGCACACCCATGAGACTAACCAGCATCACTGCAACAGGCTCTGCAGTGGGAGGCACGCTTGTTTCCCTGACACACAGCAAAGACTCCCGGAACATTCCTCCCGGCCTTCAAAATGTACCAGACACCACTCAGACTCAAGTGCCACACTTGCTATTTCTTCATGTTTGGAGAACCTCCTGTGGTTATTTTCAAACGTGGCTTTTGCTTGTTTTCCCTCAATATTAAATATTTGGGAGGTGTTGCTACAACACAACAATATCCCCCAAATTAATACTTGTCCTCTTGGTCTCGGATTCTTCCTGTGCCCTGTCATGCTACTCTTAAATCACAGTTCTTCTCCCACCCCCCTTGCCCCCATATAAGGATCTTTAGACATTAGTAGATACCTCATGCTTTGTCCATGAGTAATTTAGTAAGGCGGTTTGAGAATCTTCGGGCAAACTATTCTCCACTAGTAGATGTTCCTATGACACATTCTGTATGGCAGGGGCATTCCCAGTATCATGTCTTTCACCTTAGCAGGTTATCAGATTCTGTGTACAGAATTACTCTGAAGATAAAGGTGCACCTTAAAGACTTCAACCCTGCAGGTTGCTGCTTCAAGTGGCAGGCAAAATGGATCAATGGATAGCAAATGGTCACTTTTCCATCGTGTTTTCCCTTCCAACGTAAGAGCAGCAAAACTTTTGGTCAGTGTTTCCTATGGGGCCAAAGCACAATCCTGAAACTTCTGTGAATTGCTGAGGATATTAAACAGTGCAGATAAGATTACAGAGAAACAATGCAGCCATTTTGAGCTGAGCTTTCCCACAGTGAAAGGTTCAGTGAGGCCCAGCTGGTTGTTTTGACTTCAGACACTGACTCAGGGATTGGAAATTTGGACACCAAGGGTGGAGCAGAGAAATGATTTGGCAGGCACAAGGAAAATTTAACCTTTTTCAGCCCATGTGCTGTGTACTGCACCAACTAGCCATTGCAGGGGCTAAAAGCAGATCAGCTGCTCTATATACCTGGGTTTAATAGCATGCAAATGATTATAACTACTAATCTTTCTCCTCCCTTGTGCTCCGTCTTAAACTGAGGATCTGTAAGCAGCTTATGTACACTGTGTATCTTAGATGGGCCCAATCCTGTCCGAGTATCTCAGTAGTGCCATGACACAAACAACTGCAAGTGACAGCTACAGAATAAAAAGAGGCAGAGAGCCAGCTGAGGTTCTGAAAACTGAGCTTCAGCTTTTAGAAGCCTTTATTTCCCTGCATTTCAAGTGTATCTGAATGTTTCCGGGGGGAGGGTGCGCTCTTGGAAGAAAAGTGAACATGCTTTCCTGCTGGTACCTTACCAGAAGAACAGCTATTTTAATTGTTTTATTCCTCACGTGGTGTAATATTTGCTCACTTCTGCTGCTTTCCTGAACAAAGCACACTTGATAACATACACAGAGATGCACTCAGACACGCAGGCACGCTCCTCGCAGATCATTTGTATGCTGCTTTGCCTTGCTCTGGAGTGAGAGCTGGGGCACAAGGGGAAGTGCTCCCGCCAGGGAGGGCTGGCTGTAAGGCTGGCGTGCAGCGCAGAGCCCTGGCAGCCCTCAGGAGCTGCTGTAGCCAGGCTCCTTCAAGCCCTTGCACTGCCTAGAGAGCGGCTGGGTTTTACAGCTGCGTGTAGGGCTGCTGCTGTATCTGCAGCACATACCAGTGAGCAGGAGGCGAGCAGACACCTTGTTGCTGATTTATAGGCATCGCTTTGTTGTGCATTCCTGGTGCCTGCAGGATTCTGCTGACTTTACACTTGCTTAACTCCCAGTAAGATCAGTGGCAACTTTGCCTTCACTGAGATCATAATCCTAGAGCCTCCAAGAGGGAATATCGACAGACAGTGCCAAACCACTTGGTATGCTGTATTTAGAAGGCTCTGCAGACTGGTGGATAGAGCAGAGGAGAGTCATTCAGGGTGTATTTATTGCTGTAGCGTGATTCTGACAGGACCATCTCACCTCCCAGTGCGTCAGCTTGCCCAGCTGGGGAGCACAGGCTTTGAGGGGTGTGAATTCCCATTTGAAAAGCATGTTGAGATGCTTAAGAGAGGAAAACAACTGTTTCTACTGTTACCGTTCTCTGAAAAGAATTATTACTTTTACCACTGAGAACTACCAGCTTTAAGCAGAGATTTGTCTTAGTCTTTCTTCTTGCAAGCCAAGTATTTTTTTATGCTAAGGAAGCCTCAAAGGCATTATTAGTAACATGGGTTTTTTTTTTCCTCCTTCTAAAATCCCACTTTTCAGTTCCCTTTCACTATGCAGTCTCAGGTTAGTGAGTACTGACAAATGCTATCAACACATCTCGACAAAGCATAAAATTCTGTCTAGAGCCATTTCACTCCTTCAAACATGCTGAACTAAGAAAGATAAAGAAGAAGCAGGGGTGGGGGAAGAAGGAGAGAAATGAGAAACATTTCCAAACATAACATAAAAGGTCTTGCCTTAAGACCATGGATTTCCTTTTTGGTACTTTCAAAGAATGCGTCTTTAGTTCTCCTTGGCTGTGTGACCAACACTTGTGGGGTGTGTCTGTGGTTTGCTTCTCTTCACAGTAACTCTATTGTTCAGAAACTGCAGCCAATTTATGGAAAGAGGTGGAATGTTTATGTAACTTACTTTGCCTTAGACAAGAAATGAAAAAGAATTAAGGAAAAAAGGCTGGTGGAGGAAGGCCAGTCAAAACAGGAGTTTTCTTCCTTTCTGGACACAGATGTTGGGACAAAAAAAAAAAAGCCCGTTCTGTGTTCGCGCTAAGCTAAACAGCATTTCCATTTTTAGCCGCTTTTTTTAATTAAGTAGGTCAGGAAAACAAAATCAGCCACTAGATTAGTGCTATAATTCACTCGTTTCAAAACGTGCCGTGGTTCAGAGCTGCCCTGTTAACATGCTTACAACACCATAAACTGAGAAATAGATAGATTGGGGTCAGATGATACCACTTTCACCTAGACTGATGTCCCCAAACATATAGTTGGCAAGTGCTGCTAGACTGCAGATGGCGAGTGTCTCTTCAGAACTAGACTGGAGTTCCCTGCCATTTCCAAATTAGCTGAGCTACAAATACCATTTGCAAATTGCCAACCAGAAAAAGGCAGCCAAAAGAACGAACCTTATTGTTTTGTGTCCCCACTGTCTGTATTGCAAAAGCAAGCAACTTAGTATCACTGAATTTCAGCCTTACCCACACAGCTCACTAATACCTGCTTTGAACTCTTCTTTAAGTGCAGTATCCATCTAATAACTTCAGGTCAAATTCAGCTTTTCTAATTGGACATAACTTTGATTTACTGCTAAGGTTTTGATTGAATAAGAAGGATCTCTAAGCTTTGGAGTATCCTCAGGTGGGCCCTCATGAGCTTGTATTTGTTAAGGTTGGACCTGACCCCTACTAGGCAGGTGCAACTCACCTGAAACCAGCACATTCACAATAAATAGATCTCAAAACCAAGTTCTGAATGTAAAGAAACAACTTCCAGCCATCACACACCACCATCGCAAAACATACCCGCCTCGTATCGTATCCCCACCGGCATGAAACCAAGTGGGCATGGAGCCAGGCTGCACAGACACCAGTACTGGCAAGACTGGGTTGCAGAGCCCACATTCAAATTTCAGACTTTGTTTCAGACATATACCCAGAAGTCTCACCAAAAAAAATACAACATGGAAAATATTATAAATAGAAAACAGAGCGGAGTTAGGTGGCTCCAAACCCAGAGCGAAGGCAGTGTTCTCTCAAGACACAAAAAACACAGAGCTTGAGAGACACTGAGGAAGCTGGCCCTGCCAAAATATTTCAGCCTTGACAGGGAGAACAGTTTCTGGAAGGAGATTCTGTTGCTATAATTATCTGGTCCTTTGCCTCGCTCAGACCACCAGTTTATTGCACTGGGCCAATAAAGGCTTCCCAGGTGCCAGGAATATCCAAGAGTTTCCACCCTAGCCCAGAGCTCGGGTGGCAGAGAACTCAACCTATTCCCAAAATTCATAAGCTTTCCAAGTGCTCTGCAAGGCAGGGCTGAACCAGCAGGAGCGAGGGCTGGAAACTGTTCCAGCTATATTATTCAGCTTGAAACCCCTGCTCGAGTGTGCAGAGAGTTTATTTGACCCAATGGGCCAGATTGAGCTGTGATTGCCTTACCTCCTCGCCAACTGCAACAGAATTGCACAAGCATGAGCAGAGTCTGGTCCAATAACAAGTAATTTGCCATATGGAAGCTACTGAGCAGACATCTGCAGGACACTGAAAGTGCTTTTCTATATGCAGTGCTGAGTGCTACAGTTGTGCATTCCACAGAGACTCAGTTTGCAAAGGGAGAGAAATGAAACATTATTTAGGGGTTTGGTTTCTTGGCCTTGAAAACCAAAATCTGAAAACAATTAAAGCCCAGTGCCATACCAAATCAGTTATGCAGTCATTCCTGGATTTTCCCATGGAATTTTTACATAAGAATTAGGCTGTATTTGATTCAAACTAACACACAAAGAATTGTGCTGGTCAGAGGCAGGCCAGCTTGGAGATGAGTTTCAGGAGGTTTTGTAAATGCACGCAAAAATCAGTCAGAGGCATACTGAAACACACTGCTAAAGTTTACTAGAAACGTGATGACAGCTCACCCATTAAAAGCTCTATCATGCCTTACATCTTGTCCCCGAGAGATCCTTTTCTGCACCCTCCCATTCAGGCATTGCTTATCTTCTCTGTCAATGCAGATTTCCCTCTCCAGCCCATCTTGTACAGCCTGTCCCACAAACAGGGCCACAGGAAATACCCTTCCCATCTCGCTTTGGACACCTTTCAGTTGTGGCATTGCTGGGGGATGGAGCGAGCCCTGTGCTTTTCCAAGGAATGAGCAACCTTTGATGGCAGGTTGGCCGCTGTCCAGGAACACACAAGGAAGAGGCTCCCTGCAGCTTTCTCAGCTCTTTGTGTACCCATGTAGCAGCTGGGCAAAATCTGGCCTCACAATGGTGTGTCTGTAATGACACAACCAAATCCAGCCCTAGCACGGAAGGGAAACACCATCCAACTGGAGGCCAAGCTTTGAATTATAATGGTGCCCTCCAGACTCCAGATAGCTGCATCAGCTGCTTCCCCCTTCACTCAGAGCCCTGTAGCTAATGTTCCTTTATCCCATGAAAAGGCCAAATGCTCTGAGAGGAGGGGATTTCTCTGATTCTTTCAGAAAAGTGAAACTTTTGCTCATGTAAAACAATGAAAAAAGACAGCCCATTCACCAGGCAGGAGAGCCAGGCAATGAAGTCTCTAGTTTGCCTTCATTGCAGGAGACCTGGTGCAAACTTCCAGAGAACATGGCTGTGCAAGAGTAGGTCTCCGATTATTGCCTACAGCCCCATTAGCACATTTGATTCTCTTCTCTTGTCCATTCATGAGTACCAAACCCATCATATAAAACTCACTAGATTTAGTTCAGCTGTTAGGATTGACCTGTAGAAGAGTCCTGGAGGCAGCCTTGCCCTGGTCTGAGATTTGGACACAGAGGTGTGGAGGGCACAAAGTGCTGGCCATGGTGGTCTGGACAAAGGAAAACAAGAGGGTGTTCTATTTTCAGCCTTTTATGGTTAACTCAAAGCTTTTCTTTCATTGAGCCAAATGTTGTCATAATTTTCACTGCATTAATCTCTCGAGTCCAAATCCGCTTTTTAACATGACACTTTGGATGTGAGATGACAAGTGTTAATATTCATTATTCTACAAAGTTATAAATACCCTGAGGTAAGGCAACTCACTGGAAAGGACAGGACCAAAATGATTTCCTCAGCCCTGTGCTTATGTTGAGATCTCCATCACAGATACCATTTTTCACATACTGAAATGCTTTTGCTGCACTTCTTTTGGCACTAAAATTCACTCGTGTACTTTTATTTTAATAGATACTATAAAGTTAAATTCAAATCTTCAGTCAAACTTTCCAGTTCGCAGTAGGCAACTTGCACACGCACACATACTGACATTCAGCCTATACACCATTATCCTGCTGCAGTGCGTGAAGAAAAGCAGTCATTACAGAAGCTATTGGAGTTTCCCTACTGGATTTTTCCTACAGATGCTTTTTCTAGCAAGATCTTACTTGCAGAGTGTTTTCCCATCAGAGCCTTGCCAGACTTTTGGGGCAATGCTGAACAAAGGTCTTACCACCTTTGTAACACTAAACGGCATTTAGTCTTTCATAAACTTGATAGCCTGTAAATCCGAGATGGTCCACACCCTCTGCATTCCTATGTCGCATACTAACAGCCTCTTCTTTAATTACAAGGTGTGGCATTTCTGGACAAGAGACAGCTAATCCTCCAGACGTGTGTGTTATTTACATTTACCCTAGAATTTCTCCTTCATGCAAAGCTTTGCCTCTGAATCTGCAAAGGTCAAACCTCACAGCCAAAATCTCTAGCTCATGGCCACGCTTTGATGCCACTTAATAGTCTGGTTTACTAATGAATAAGTAGAAGTGTTCTGAACACACAGGATTCAGATCTAAAAAGCTGCAAGGTATTTGGATCTAGGAGCTCGGTTCATGCCGGTTGCTGTTGCAAAACACGACCATCTGCAAAACTAAAGCTTCAACAGGAGCCCAGATTAGCATGCTGCTTTAAACCACCCTCAGCTGCAGTTGCCTTCAAGGATACTTCGTTAGAAAGAAGAGCTCAAGCTCTGTGTTTAAGAAACACCATCAAAAGACATGCTGACAAACTGACTGTGGTTCCTGCAGCTGGGAAAGGCACAGCCCCCCCGGGACTCCCCAGCTCTGCGAGCCAGGCCACGCTGGGCTGCAGACATCACCAGGAGACTGCCAAGGCCCCGCTGGCTGGCAACGATGGGACCAGCCCTGCAGAGCCTGGTGCCAGCTTTGCTGGACGTGGGGGCTGCAGCCCAGTGTGCCTGTGGCTGCCCAGTGCAGGGAGGACCGCTTCCCGCAGGAGGGCGGCCAGCACTCCTGGGCCCGTGCCCACCGTGCGCTGTTTCCTCACCTCCATCCAAGTCTGACACCCACGGTGCTTCCCACATCCCACAGCTTCAGGAAACCCAACCAGCCTCACCCCCAGCCTTTCCTCGCCACCCTGCCCTGCTTCTCCTGTTCCAGAGCCTCTCTCCTGCTGCCGTCTTTTCAATCCAGAGGAAAAAGCCACCCTCACGTCCTTCCTCTTGGCACTGAGAACTCCCAGCCGAGCAGCACACAGGGGTGCAGCACCATGGGCAACGCTTGACCGACACCAAGTGCCAGAGAAGGACTTACTTAGCGGCAAGTTGTGACTTTGAAAGGAAGAAGACTTTTGGCCCTCACCATGCCCACAAGTGACAACCATCCCCAATCTGTAACTCAGCTTGGAAAAGCAAAAGGGAACCTGGGGCTGAGGCACTCTGAGGCCAAGGTGATGATTCTGCCATGGCACAGCACACACTGCGCACTCACATGGCCACATCCAGTGCAGCAGGGCAGTGCCTGCACCACAAACAAGCTGCAGCCCAGGGTTTGCATTGCCCACAGCCCTTCAAGCATCCCTCTCCCTCCTCCAGAGACACCCCATTGCCATACCTCTGCCCTCATGCCTGTTCCTCTGTACCGCGGCAGGGTCTGCCCTGGTGCAGGCCCGAACGCCATGTTCCGTGTCCCCAGCCATGGCGCCTGTGGCGGCACCTGCTCGAGGCAGCGGCAGACACCCACAGCACATCACCACTGGGTTATAGAGAGCAACAACACGACTTCTGCCCCTCAGAAAGGGCTTTGTGGGTGAAAGTCATTGCGCTGGGTGCCCACAGCAGCGGGGGCCACAGGGCAGCCTCTGTGAGGAGAGAGCGGCCTGCGCCATGCTGGCTCCAGCACACCCATGGCAGGGCACGGCTGAGCCCCGCAGCCAAGATGGCGGCACCAATGTGATGAAGAACATGAGACGGATCCCTGCGGACATGGAGGTCAGAGAAGGAGGTGCTGTGGGCACTGGAGAGGACCATGGAGGAGCAAGGTGTAACCTTGCAGCCCTGGAGAAGTCCCTGAAGGACTGCAGCTCACAAAGAGGACCCCGTGCTGGAGCAGGGAACAGTGTGAGGAGAAACGAGTGCCAAACAGGAACAGCTATGGACTGACCGCAACCCCCTTCCCCAGCCCCTGCTCTGCTTGGGAGGGGAGGAGGTAAAAGGGTTGGGAGGGAAGCAGTGCCTGAAAAGGAGGAGGGAAGGAAGGTGCTGTTTTCTCACTAGCCAATAACTAGTTGGTTATAGATTAGTTTTCCCCAAGCTGAGCCTGCTTTGCCTGTAACAGTCACTAGTAAGTGATGTCCTGTCTTTATCCTGACCCATGAGGTTCATTTTCTTCACCCCATTTTCTCCCCCAGACCTGTTGAGAAGCTGAAGTAAGATCACTCCTGGGTACCCACTGCAACCCCAGCAAAGAAAGGAGAGAAGGACAAGAAAAGAGCAGACTTCCCCTGACACTGCAGCCCAGACCTGGTACTCATGATGCTTCCTGATGAATCGGGCCATTATCTGAGCACTGCCATGGACACAGAGCCCGGCTTCAACACGCGCTCATCAGGAGGTTGAATCTGTGGGTTTGGAGGCTGGTTATGTGCAAGGGAAAGGCAATCCCTGCCTCCTAACCAGAAACAGTTCTTAAACAGGACAGTGTCTTTACTGAAGCAGTCCAGCAGAAGTCCACTGAAGGGAAGGGTCATGAAAGCAATGAGAAAAGGCATAGATCATAGAATTACGGTATTGTTAGGGTTGGAAAGGACCTTAAGATCATCTGCTGGCAGATGCAACACTACTGCCCTAACACACTCCTCTGCTCTTTCTCCTTAGGACTCCTTTAGCCTGAGTTCCAAATCCACTGCTTAGGAATGCCAGGCAAGCACAGAAACCGCTTCTGCTCCATGGCTGGATGCAGCAGACAATGGCAAAAGAAGAAATGCAAAAGGAAGATCATCTCCGGACATAGCCCATGCAAAACGTAACTTGCCATAACACAGCCCTGAAAGGCACTACTACCAAAATACCCTGGCATGTTACAGCATCCTCCCAACTTGCATAAAAGCTGCTTTATTGCTGATCTCAGTTTACTCTATTCGCAGGCATAACTGAGCTGTGGTTTTTTATGGGTTGTCTGACCTCCCCGTAAGTGTTCTGGGCCATCATTAAGGCTGCGTAAGGCAAAGCTCTTTTCTTCTTCTCTTTTTGCAGAGCTTCTTTCTAGTCTTTTATCAGCTGATTTGCAGAATGATATGCAGTCCCACTCCTAAAGCAGGCCGTGGATAAGTGAATGCTTCTTCATTCCCTGGAGCCACCAGCAGTGAGTCAGGGGCTGGGGAGGGTGGACAGTATTACCAGCATTGCACTGGCTCCCAAGACCCAACTGCCTTAGCTCCTCCAAACCTTCCCTTCACGCCCCAAAAGCAACGCTGGCAAGAAAATGAGCATGCATACAAAATGCGCATGCAACCTTCAGATCATGAAGAAGGCTCTGGGTAAAACCAAAACCAAACCAGCCAAACTGAGAACTACAGTCTTTGTAAGCAAAACTGTTTCCTTCTGGTTCCTCCAGCTCTGCCTGCTTCCCGTGCTTGACACAGCAAAAAGTCCCATGAGAAGCCCATCTATTCATACGCAGGAATTGCTCATGTTCCTAAAGTGTACTGATCTGGATGCAAAATATCAGAGACATTAGTGCATTTCTGAACCATATCCTGTCATCTTCATTGCAGAAAGCTCAGAAAAAGAAGTATGAGCATTAACTGATGCAAAACCCTGACTTCTGTTACCTGTGCTGCAGGTACTGAACATGGAATACTGAGTTCACAAGGAAAGTCAGAGCTACCTTGTTTGTCTGTCAGGTCCCTCTGGTAATCTGGCAAGGAAAAGTGAATTACTAATAGAAATCTTCAGCAAGTTGTGGTTAAGGTAGGAACACGGCAGGCCTCTGCCTCTGTGGCTGCATAAGGACTGTCCCATAGGTATGGAAAAGCACTGTCAGGGAGAAGAACAGCTTAAAGAAAAGCAAAGGAGGAGTGATGTGACACTGGTGGCGAAATGAAGGAGGGAAGTGGGAACGGTAATGAGAAGCTGCTTGTCCATGACTAGATTCAGAGGAGGGAGGCAACAAATTTCAGAGAAATCAGAGTTTTAACCCATGACCCAGTTACAGCACATTTGTCTCCCATGTCTGCGTCCTTCCAGGCCATTGTCTGTGGCCCTTTTGCCATCACCCCATTCTCCAGTTTACAGAGAGCATACAGCAACGAGCCTTTGATCAGGGGGAGGACACCAGAGCTATTTGCTTTCCTTTGCACATGCTCCACACCGGAGGAAGAGCAACAGACCACAGCCCAAAACTCACTATTATTTCTGGGATACTCTTAAGTTCACAGCTAGCAGGGTGGTGTAGAAGTAATTACAGAAGTAATTGCTGTGAAAGCCTACATAGTGCCAGGGGGTTGCTAACAGATCTATGATCATCTTCCAGAGTGACAACAACAAATGTCTGGACTGCAGCTGCCCC